TGGTTAATCATTTAATTAGCATGAAGCAGAAAAACTATCGTGACGAAGACGGAAGTAGTTTTTTCTTCTTCCGCTCCACAGATCCTGGTGACGCAGGCTAAAGTTACGTTTTAGTTTTTCAAAGGAAGAAAACAAAATATATTTATATATGTATTATATATAAAGTTTGTGTATGCTCCAGAGAACCATGACGGACAGTTTCGTGAGGTTTGTTGTTTCCGTCTTTTATTTAAAGCCAAAAATGAGGCTGACGGTTGAACAAAGACTAGCTGTTAGCTTAGCAGAACTTCCTGTTAGTTATATATGGTGAATAAAAATAACATCAGAGTATTTAATGAAGTGTTTTTCAGTAAACAGGACACAAACAATATGTTTAGCAGGTATAGAACCGATATGATGAAGTGTTTTTCAGTAAACAGGACATAAACAAGATGTTTAGCAGGTATAGAACCGATATGAAGTTTAGAGGCTTGAATGGAGTCACGTTGTGTTACGGAGAGAAACTGAAACTAATAATGAGCTACAGAAGTCAAATTAACTATTTAAAGTATGTTTTAGCTCAATATCTGTATAATAATTGAGTCAAGATTCATTTTGTGTTTGCTGTTGTCTAAAGTTAATCAGTTGTAGAGGTGTGTTCACTGATATATTATGGAACATATTTGCCACACCCAGAGAACCTGAACATCGTCAGTTCTGCCTCCTGACGTTTCTTCAGTTTATAAATCATAACATAGCTGCTCTCATTAAAACTTTTCTTTATCCTTTGCTGCCAGCCTTTAGTTATAAATCTCTCCTCAAACCTTCCTCCATCCTGCCTGAACTCTTCACCTGTTCACCACACGCTCCCTGTTCTCCTGGACTCTGAGGACTTGAAGTCCTGACCTGTTGTATCCTCACTGTTCCACCTGCCTCCCTCTCCTTCACACATGAACTGTCTACAGCTGACTTTCATTCCTCTTCTCTAATGAGCACACCTCCACCTCCAGGTCTTCTTCCACCTGTTCTCTGTTCTCATCACAGACCTGCAAACATCACAGTCACTAATATTCCTGTCGGACCTCATCTGTCAGTCTGTCATTAAACAAAAATAAGCTCAGAGCCGATCCTTGATGCAGTCCCACCTCCACCTTCAAGCTATCTGACCCTCCTACAGCACGTCTGTCTTATATAGTTCCCTGCCAAACCTGACTTCCTCCTACACAGCTCCTCCCCTCTACATGCTGTTTTTTTAATGAATCCACAGACATAAAACAGTTTTTTGGTCCCTCTAAGTATTTCTTCATCAGTGTCCTCAAAGCAATTCWTTCACACAAACTGAATTAGTAATTTTTATTAGTGCAAAAAATATCAAATGTTTCTTAAATGTGTTATTTATGATAAAATATATGTTAAAGTTTCCTCCTGCACTCAGACAGTAGTGATTGGAAGGTTAGCTGTATAACTGTTGTAAACATTTTGCTAACAGGAACTTGAACAAAAGCAGAAGTGTTTGGTTGTTTCTGTCACAGGACTAGAGACGAGTCCTGTCCAGGTTTAAGCTTTTATACAACAAACCAACATTAGGAATAAACAACAGACTCTCAGGTTGTTTACCTGAAACAACAGAGATCACATCACCTAAAGATTCAGACCWGGAACTGGAAATGAACCTCTTCTATTGTTCTTCATGTTTCCTGTTGGGACTTTCAGCTTGTGTCTCTGTCTGATGATGAATCTGTTGGTTTTAAAGCTCAGGAAGAACAAAAGTGACTCATCAATGATCATCACAGCAAACTGAGGATTAACTATAATACTTATATAATCTTACAGCTGAAAAATGGAATTGGGTTATTTTGACCAAATGTGACTTAATCCTCAGTTTGATGTGATGGGTCACAAATGTGACTGAAATTTACTGCAGACAGTTTTTAGAGTTAAATCCCTTGAAGTTGACAGCTGTGAGTTTGAAAWGTTCCTGTTGTTTTCTGACTCTAATCTTCAGCAGGAGTTCAGGTTCTTCTGGTTCTTGATTCAATCTGCAGCCAAATCTCAGTTTTTTCTCTCCATCATGTAAATATTGAGTAAAAACAGGAGGAATAAATCGGAGCCGTGGTGTCGTCAGGATCTGACTGTGCTTTGTTTCTGTTTGCAGACCTCAGGTGTTGATGTTGGTGCTGCTCTTCTGTTGGGGATCAGGTGAGTTTCTTTGGGTGTTTGTTCATGTTTCCTGTTTGTTAACATTGTTATTAATCTAAGAATCGGACATCAGGCTATAATTTCATTGAACTCTGTCCGATTCAAATATGACAGCAGATGGTGTCAGACATTAAAATGATGTCATCACTGGTCTGTTCAGAGGTTCTAAGGTCAAAGGAGGACATGTAAACCCTGACCTGATATCCTCTCAGCTGGATAAATGAATGTATAAAAGAGGCGGAGCATCAGGTAGAAGCTCRGAGCTCTGATGGAGTTTAACAACAGCAGCGAGTTGTTAGGAGAGAAACAGAAAAGCTGATAGATATTTCTGTCCTGCACTACACTTTACCAAGTTGGGGCACCAGGTCAGTTTATTAACCAACATTTATTCACCCTTAATGTAATGAAGTTTATTATGTCTATTTGATAATTCTTAAAACTTTTTCCTAGTTACTACACACTTAGTTATTTTTATGTCTTTACAGACATACCTGACATGTTTGGATGTTTGCACTTCGTTCTTCATCAGAGGTGTCAGCTGATGTTAGGAGGCGGTGTCGGCTCATCAATATGTATTGACAAGCCGACACCGCCCCCTGCTGGCCTCACTACTGGAGGATGTCACTCCAAGTATATGAGAGCTTGTAGGCTCCTTGTAGCTTGTAGACTAACACGATCTAAAGAAGAACAAGCTTTGCAAGAGAAATACAAATCAGCCATCATGGACCACTGCAAAAGGGAAAATCATGTTATGGACTGGGAAGGAACCAGAATCATCCGCAGAGAGGACAACAAATCCCAGCGTTGGATCATGGAGGCGATGGAGATCAGAAAGCGAGCCCACACAGCTATGAACCGGGATGAGGGAGCCTACAAGCTCTCATATACTTGGAGTGACATCCTCCAACAGTGAAGCCAGCAGGGGGCGGTGCCTGCTTGTCAATATATATTGATGAGCAGACACCGCCTCCTAACATCAGCTGTGACACCTGATGTAGGCGGAAGTACTTGTCACAACAGGTATGTCTGTATAGACATAAAAATAGCTAAGTGTCTAGTAACTAGGAAAAAGTTTTAAGATTTATTCACCCTTTTTAATCAGACTCATATTTAGTGAAGGGAGATTTGTATGATGTAACAGTGAATTCTTTTCTCAGTCCAAAATACTCAAAGATGAGGAACCAGCTTTGTCTTTTATGGTAATTTATTACAAAAATATAACAAGAATTTATTTAATTGAATCATGACTAAAACAGTAAAAAATAGATACCATATAGTGGTAACATAATGACCCCCGCACACACAAATGCACCAGAACTCAGAAGTCTTTATTCCTAAGAAGTGTCATGCTACTAGGTGCATCCCAAATT